AACCAAATACATCACTCAAATCATTTTTTCCATCCGCACCACCTTTCAGATATTGTGAAGGCCGTCCACGATATTGCCGGCTTCAGGGAAGACAAACAGTTGGACGATGTTCCATCACTAGCGCTGAAGATTGGTTATTCCGTCAAGAAGTGTGCACTCGTCTTGAAAGGAAGTGCCCTAGAGTCTGGCCAAAAACACAAAGCGGAGCGTGCGGAAGAGTTTCTGCAGTTGTGTGAATTGAACTGGCGAGACCTTGTGTCCACAAACGCACACAGAACACTGTACCAAGGAAAACGCAACAAAGTCACCACTCTCCCGACAAATGCCGATGTAGTTCACCTGTCGTCGTTCCTTCATGAAGCTGGCAACCGCAAACTTCAACTCCTGCAGGGTGCTCGGAGCAGACAAATCAGGCCAGTTTGGCAGAAATTGAATGAGGTCAGTCTGTGCCACCTCATCATGTTCAACCGAAGAAGGCAGGCCTTGGATAAGGCTGGCCTTGACAATGCATCTGGTCCACCAAATTCCGTAAACATGTAGCAACTGCATTGCAAATTCTTGCATTAAAGGAACATCAGCTTGAAACTCTAGCCAACTTCATGGGCCACGATCTGCGGGTACATAGTCTTGAATACTACCAGTTGCAAGATACTGTACAGCGGGTCAACAAACTGTCCAGACTTTTCCTGAGTTTGGAGAGGGGCAACCTGCCTTCCCAGCAGGGCAAATCCTTGGACGATCTGCATGTAACTGGAGGTAAGGGCACCTTGTTCTCAAACCATGTTTCCCATGTTCCGTCTACCCAACGCTTGACTTCGAACTAAGTCAAGTCAACCCAACCCAGACTCCCACTTTTTAGGGCATCATACTCGGCCGGAAAGAATACCTCTCTTCCTATTCAACCCCCCCCGCGGAAGAACAGACCAGTACAAAGAAAGACGGGGGACAAAAATCACCCCCATAAATGTATCTTGCGTCAAGAACTCCCAAAATAATGTTCCATTTNTCTCGGAAGGCTTCACCAGTGAAGAGGACAGTAGCGACAGTGGGGACAGCAGTGAAGACTCCTGCGATGAATCCGTCGAAAACGGTAAGATTTGGTCTGTCTGTCTGTCTGTCACACTGTTGGGCTGTCTGCCTGTTACTCTGTCGAGCTGCTGTCTGTTACTCTGTCGGGCTGTCTGTCACATGGACAGGCCGTCTGCTGAGCTGTCACCTACATTTCTAATGTCGTTTTCTTGCCTCTACATTAATAGAACTTGCCTCCACATTAATATAGTAGTAGGCCAATAACGCACCCTATTTTTAGTGGCCAAAACAACCAAAAACTTGTGAGTGTTGCCCTCGGTGTTATAGGCTGCACTCACATGGACGAGAAGTCCTCCGTCTGATAGTTTGGAAAGTATGCCCTCCATCTGCAGTGTCTACATGTATACGTGTGTGTATGTATTGTGTGTGTAGAAGACGTTAGAGAGGGAACCGCAGCTCGCCAACCAACCTTCCCTTACTCCATTCGTTTCCACTTTACTTTCTGACTCAAATCGCAAACTTCCAGGACGGAAGTTTGCGATTTTTTGTTTTGCCATTAGGGAATTTTGGTGCTTTTTTATTCTCACGAGACATGCTTATAGATCGCTACTGAAACGTGACGTCATTTGAGTCAGAAAGTAGAGTGCAAACGAATGGAGTAAGGAAAGGTTGGTTGGCGAGCTGTGGTTCCCTCTCTAATGCCTTCTATACACACAATTGTGGGCATGAGGTATCCACTTGGTACTTTAAGCAAAAGTATGATGTCAACCAGGATTTTAAACTCACCAGTTTGCTGAGGCGACGTTTTGTTGACTTTGGTGGTCTAGTGTTGTTGTTTAATTTGTTGACGGGTGGGAAGTGAGCAAATAAAAGCTTATGCGAAATATTGGGCGCTGGTTCATCTTCAGGGAGCCCCTAAAATGAGCAGCTGTCTTCCTGTAGTAACCTCCGAGTCATTTGCCACGAAAAGCAAGAAATTTTGTAATTTTCTTAAACATTGCAACGTGCCAATGTCAGATAGTTTGTCACCCTTTTAAAGAGCACCTACAATCAAATTTGGTTTTATTGAACAAACCTTTAATATACATCTTTATGTCTCAGTTAATCTTATTTCAATTTTTATTTATAATTTAAAAGGGTATCTTACTACCTTTTTTGTTTTTAGGTTAATTAGTATTTTGTTATTTATGAACAAAACTGTTGGAGCAAGCTACTCGTGCACGAATATAATATATTCCTGAGCGCTCGAACGGCTGGAGCACGACCGGCCGGTCAGCAATCTAGAGTATACTCCTCCACCCGAGTGTAATGCGCACGGATCCTACTCATGTTAACAGGAGTAACCGCGCAAACGTACCCTTTGACTGACAACATGAAGAGCGCCCTCACTTTATTATTGGAGGAAGCATTGTTGAAGCAGACAGGCACGTTTTTTGAGGCTGCGCCACACCAAATACGCGCCCATAGAAAAGAGTGCAAAATGAGATCGAAATAGCGCCACCTGTTACCACTCTCGGGAAGAGGTTGGCCTCCGTTTCTTCGCTGGAAGTTCGAGATTATGGCCAGAAGATCATTTTTCATTTCAATTTTATAGGGGTTAGCCTCGAATTTTTTTTATTCGCCTCTCTTTGAAGGTACCCCCAAAATAGTTGTAAAACTATGGGCCCAGCTTTGAATGTAGCCGCCCCTCTCTATCCAAAATATGCCCTCAATTTGGGGTTTTTTGTTAAAGAAATACCCCTAACTGGAAACTACCAGTCCGAAATTCTGAATTTATAGAAATATCTCTATGATGCCTCCTGATTATGGCCTGTCTTATTGTAAAACCCCTATGGGATCACAAAATATTAATGAGCTCGCGCGCAGAAATATAACGACCCAGAAATCTAGTGCACTTTAATATCACCTCGAGGGGCAGTTTCACAGCAAAAAATGGTTCAAAACGAAAAAACATCAATCTAAAATAGAGAAAACAACCCCCCCCCCAAAAAAATGAAGACGCTTTCTTGTTTTTTGAAGAGGGCTAATACAGTTTGTCCGTAAATTGCATGTACCTTGCATTTGAATGTTTTGTATAAATACAAGCCTATGTTACTCATGCTTGTTCACAGTTTCCAAGGAGTCTAAGGAGTTAGGAGTCAAAGAGCCAGGGGAGGTGATTGTCAGATTGTTGTAATAAATCTGCTGTAAGCATGGTGACCCTGAGACTGTCCGAGCGAAACCCTTGCGATTTCTGCGAACCCCCCTGACAGTGGCGCCGCCCATGAACGCAGAAACTGTTCGGCATGTTAACACTCATGCATACTACCTAAGAAGTGCTAGTGTTGTAGATAATATATTTCATCATCGTTTCCAGTTGTCCGCAAAGAGAAACTTTAAGAAATCTCTGGCTTGTCCCCCCCCCCACCCACGGAAAAAATCGCTGGATCTGCCCCTGATCAGTGACGTGTCGATATCCACTGTGCTGAGTTAAGGTTTCAGAAAAATGATTCTCTTCACTCGAACTTTTAACTGCAGCATTGAAGAAACATTACACGCAAATTGACCTTTATTGGTGCAATCGGTGCAAAAGAGGGGGGAAATGCAGCAACCTGCTACAAAGGGCTAATTGACACCATTTTATACTATTCTGAATTATTTCTCTCGAATGATCTCGAAATAAATCAGGGCCCAACGTTTGATTGGTTTGCCGAATCTTCCTCAAGGAAAAGTGTTTGACTTTCGGAGATTCCATCAGTCGTTGAACATCTGAACCACCTGATAAATAGCTCAGTAGCTGTGATCAAAACTCTTTCCATACCGGTGAAGAATTCAATTAGGGTACTGATATAGGCCACCCGTTGTTAATGTTAATCAATTGCAAAGTCCGAAGCAAAACACATTTTTAACTCAGTGGCGTATGCGGGGGGGTGAAGTACCTCGCCTGACGGGAACATGCGCCCATTTTGTTATGTTAAGAATTTCAGAAACAATGTCCATTCCTCAGACTAAAAAAAAAACAATCACTGTTTAAATGATCACTGGTTAGGCTGTACGGCTTTGTCATATTCATCAAGGTCAAAGGCATCGCTCTAAAACATCGTGAATAGGCCTATAATTATACCTCAAAATAGAAGTGAGCCCGGCACGGTGTCATTTAACCTTCAGGGACACGGCCAAGATTTTGTTTGCCCGTGGCAAGATTTTTTTCCGTTTGTGACCTATTTTTGCTATCCAGGTGGCCATTTTGCTGTACAGGTACACTCCATCTTTTGCATTTATATTATTGCTGAAAAAGCACGCTTGGTTTAAAGACGGTATATGCGGTTAAATTCAAGCGCGATTCAAAACAATGTCATGACTCAGCAACCTTTGGTAATTATGAAACTAAAATCGTCGAATATTGTTTTTCTCGGAATTCACTAAGTTGGTACATCATCAGGTTTGTTTTGAGGCACCCCTCTTTAGATTTTGATCATGAGGAATATATTGCACAAAGACTATGATAATTATTGAATGGAGTGGCCTAACCACCAGCAGAGAAAGAGGCTAATGTCATTTTTCCCACCCCGCCCCCTTTTCGTTTTTTCTTCAATTCTGGGCAGGGGTGGGAGCAACAAACTGAAGCCTGGACACGCTAAATATCTTTCCCACGTGGATGCGTTAATGTTGGCCTTGACACTTTATGTCCTTAGCGTGTCTCACCCACCAAGCTAGATCCAGAACCAAAGTTTCGGAGGAGCAAAATTGGGGTTTTTTTGGGGGGGGGGAGGTGCCAAATAGGCCTATTTGGAATGGTTTTGTGAAACCTTGTATGGACTTTCGGTTTACATCAATGGCTTTTCACGCGCTTTTGATGAAAGAAAGAAAAGGAAATGGATCTAGCACCCACCACTCTCTCATTCCTTTTACCCTGAAAGAGCTGGGGCCGAACCCGTCCCTCGACATGTGTTTCCCGATATCTCTGTCTGCAGTTTTTTCCCCAGGAGCTGCGCAAGCAGGGTTTTTCAGAGGAACTCTTTGCCATTTATTTTGACACCAATTTTATTAAAATCAAACCCGCTGTTCTTGTGTAGCGCCCATTTTTCCCAAGACATGCAGACCTGCCCAAACGTATACATTTTCCACCGTAGTGTTCAATGCACGCGGGCTGACACGCAGGTACAGTCTAGAACTTGAAATAACCATGGCCGTAACAACTACGATACGTTCGATTGATTCCAACTTTACCTTTGTAATGGTAAGGTGTGTTTTTACACACAGGTTTAAAAGAAACCAAGCAAGGTCTAGGGTGAGGAATCCACCCCTGGTTATGAGATGTGACCAAATAACCTGGCTCTCCGAGAGTTAAAACATTTGACTCTCACTTTGAAAGGGGGGGGGCTCTGCTCCGTTGACCCCCTGCGTCAACCTTTACTCACCCGTCACTAAATTAAGGCATGTTCACATTTGCTGTTGATTTTAAGCAGTTTTGAATGCGATGCTTTTTTGGTCTAACTGCATTAGTTAAAACAAGACATCAAACGCGATTGTGTTTGTGTGTTTCGACGGGAAAATCGGGGATTGTTTTTTCCCTTTACGAAACTCTTCCGCAATTTTTGCTTCAGATAACTATCCCCTCATAGCTGTTCGCCTTCAAAAAAAGCAGATTAGTTGGTTGATTAATGCTCTTTTTACTTTTCAGAAATACAGAACGGAGAGCAGTTTTTCCTGTAATTCCGTGTAATGAGAAAACGGTCAATTTGTCTTGTTCTTTGTATCAATCGGGTCACTGCTTTCGTGCACCGTGTAGTTTAGAAAACCATTACTCACGTTACACTGGGAAGGTAACCTGATTGTATTTGCAAATATACTTCCCAATCAACAAAATCAAGGAGTAAATTTTGAAGGCATTAAATTTTATTGTGCAGATGCAGTATTCATCCCAATATTTTGAGTCTGTGACCATGACTTAGTGCAAAGAGTAGGTCTATAAAGCCGAATATTTATGCCGTCTTTTTCTCTGTTTTAAAGACAACTGTGACTGGTTTCTTTCAATGCAGACTCCATCAGCATGAAAGTACACTGTTTAGCATCAAACGATGGGAGGGGGCAACCAACTGCATTTTTTTCTTCCGCGTTTTTCTCTTTTGTAGCACAATCGGTGTATTTATTTATCAAATATTAGCACCCAAACCGTAAGAAAACATGTCAAACGCCACGAAATAAAAGAAAGAATGTCTGGACCGTGAGTAACGCTTTTGATTTGCCACATGATGCTCCTTTAAACAGCCGAACTTCTGTTCATACATAATCGATATCTTAGCCCTGCTTTGTATGTCATAAAGAACATCCCGCACACAACAAATAAATCACTAAGCGATATTTGTGTGTTGTCTTCATTGATACACACGTAGCATTTGCACACACGTAACGAGTCTCATAGTCTAAGTTTTTGTTGGATTCATCATTCCGATCTGTCTTTCGGAGACAATTTTCTGTCTTTGAAGTTTTTCGATAGAGTTTTAGCCTTATAAACTTTGCAGGTGAAAAAAAAAATGGAATTGATCTCCACTTTGCCGTGGCTCCTTTTAGTGGCAATGCGCACTCTTCTATTATTTACGATCCTTCTTTTTGTTTTGCGATGCCTCCTCCGCAGGCCGACAAACCTCCCACCCGGCCCCTGGGAATTCCCACTCCTGGGGTCCCTACCAGCCATCGTCTGGGGGCTGAGGAAAGGTTTACAGCCCCATCATGTTTTGGGGAGGTACGCTGAAAGCTACGGTCCGGTGTTCCGAGTGTCTATGTTCAACAGAAATGCAGTCATCCTGGACGATTTCGAGTCGACAAAGGCGGCGTTTCGGCACCCGGAGTTGAGCGACAGACCACCGGGTATGGGAAACGGTAAGCCATGGTATTTCGAAATGGCCATTCTGTCTGGCAATCTCGAGACGATATGCGTAACACTGAAAATGTTCGGGGTTTAGATTCAGCTATACACAGTGTGGGACTACACAATTGTACACGCAGTTTTAATCCATTCTTTTGTTGCATGCCTAATTACGTATACATGAATTATACATGACAAGAATGGCTATATACTAAAAATATAACCTATGTTTGTAACTAGATAGGTACTTTTGCTTACTCGGATATTAAGAGTGCGTACTTCGAACAGAAGGTAGCAGATTCCCCGAGCACGGTGTGGGATTCAGTCAGTGAGAAAGTTTGCAATGTCCCTTGATGAGACATGCAGGGACCCGAAATATATGTCAAAACATAGTTAGGGTGATTGTACTTGGTTAATAAATCAAAACAATGCAATTGACAAACGTCGGCAATGCGGTAGAACATTTTCCTCGTTCTCAGTGACATTGCCATCGGCAGGTGCTGATTTTGGTGGGATCGATCCCCCGCTCAGAGACGAAGAAAGTGTTAAAATGGGGTACGTAACAAGAAAATAACTACAGGAAGTGCATCAATATGCCACTGTACAATGTATGTCATTGTTATGTTTTATCATCGTTTCCACTAGTCTACAAAAACGTGATATTAAAAAGTATCTCCAGGCTGATGCACCCCCGGGAAAATTCCTGGATCCGTCCCTTCCCGTCTAGACAACTCGTAGCCGTCCATTTTGCTTTCGGCACACTTGTCTCGAACATGAATGAAAAAAAGTTACAACATGGGCTAAAAATACATGCGCCAAGTCAGCATGAGATGCTTTGCACAAAGTGCCTGCGTACCACGAGTGCATTTTGGTGTACAATATCCTACGGTCTCCACAACCACGCGTCATCTTTCACACGTTCACTGTAAAATTAACTTTTTTGTGACGAAATCCATTATAGTTGTGTAACCCGCGTACAAACACACAAAAGGGCGGGAACTGCTTCACTATTAAATGCACAAAAGTGAACTCGAAATAACTCTTTCATTGAGGAACACTCCTCAATCTGAGAAACTCTAGTTCTAGCAAACAATGAATAAATGAGCGCTCAATAATAAAAGGATAAACTTGTGTACACTTGTACCAGGATCTAGATTTTAGTCCGGCTTCATGCCCTTCTTACAGCCAAAGTCACAAGTTCCTCTAAAAGGATAAACAGTTCCCGTTCCTCCAGTTTCAGTCCAGAAGTCAGGATTCAGCTGAAACTGTGGCTGGGATCCTCGACCGGTTCAGGTGACGACTTGAGTCTGTTGACGGGTTCGCCACTAGTCCACAGGCTGATGACCAATTCACAGGCGTGGAATCTGCCAGACAGCTGCTGTAGCTGAGGTCCAGTCCCCAGATTTAAGGCCAAACCTGAGAGCCAGCAGTCTCTCTGTTGTATCACCAGAAAGAATGATGAATGCACTCGAAATATCTTGCATAGCAGATAACTTAGAAAACCCGCAAAATATGATTCGGGCGTGTTTGTGGCTTAGCAATCGCAAATTCTGTTAGGCAAGATGGCGGCCTCTAAAGAGAGTAAGGCCGTGTCCGAAACGGGCTTCCATAGCTACGGCTAAGTCTATTTTCTACGCGTCTCCACTCATTTCTAATCGAGCGCAGACCTAGCTCTAGACCAGATATTTGGATGCAGCCTGTGTTGCTCACGCGCTTAAACTGTGGTCGGTACTACACGGGCTACAGTTGGCATTAAAAAAGACGAGCGTAAATCGCCAGAGATTAGGGTCGGTCGGATGAGGGCAACGCAATTTGTTTGGCCTAGCATTCTGTTACATCCACTGCCCAAGTTGTGTCCTCGACCTTAATTCAGCTGGGGAAGTCCCAACAACCGTCCCGGCGCAGTTGGGACTTCAACACTGTAGTTGGTCAAGCAGAATATTATAATTGTCTTCAAAGACTTTTAATGCCACGCCTCAGGTGACCAAATTGCTGTTTCTTGTGTTACTGATGAAGGCGTGTAATACCGCGGTTCTTTGTTCTCTCCCCTCACCTCCTGATTCGTTCTTGCAATCTGTTATTTGTTTTCACTTTCTTGGTTCCTTTTTCGTTTTTAATTTTCAATACAACACGGCCGATTCACAATTGTGCGCCACCAAGAGTTTGCAACATGGTGGCCAATCATAACGCGCGAAATTTGTCGACCCTTGTGAAACGGCCGTATTTAAACATATCCGTTGCCTGTCTGTGTCTTGTTCTCGTTCGTGTTTCAGCCAATAACTATAGTTTAAAGCATGACAAACTCTGCCGACTCAGTTGAGGCCCCCCCCAAGGAGCCGACGGACAAGCTGCTGACCTGGCATTATTATCATGTACGCGTGCTGTGATTGCATTGTTCTTTCTTCTTTTCAGATGGTTTCGTGGATTTCTGTTCTCGTGAACCAAACGACTGGGTCTTTTGGGGAGGGCATGGTTCCCCCCAGCCACCAAGGAGTGAAATGAAAATATATTGTGGAGTGACTGCCCATTTTTTTTTATAGAGACTTGTTTGTTGTCGTCATCAGTAGAGTGTAATTCGACCACCAGAATTAGAAGCCATTACTGCGGTGGCACAACGCTCGTGGACGGGTGGTACGCGCGCGTTAAATGCCTCTTCCACCAATAGGGTGTCGTGATTTGCCAAACGCGCGCGCGCGTCAAGCTGAAGAATGTGCAGTGCCACCCGCAGTTAGGGCGTCTTAGCTTATCGGATTAGTCTATGAGCACTTTGGTAACTATTGTACGGACCCATCTACAGCCATCTCGCCAAATATCCAATGAGGCTCATCACTTGGTTACGGAAACACACTATCACATAACATTGCAAAATGTGAAGTTCTGCTTTCTGTAAGCCCATTGAGTGCTAATTTGTAACACACAGGCCCGGCATGTTAGTAGTAACTCGTTTCATTACAGGGTATCATGTGGGCACTGAGAGCAATATTTCTGACAGAAAACAATTTGTGGCACTTTGGCACTTTCGATAAA